CAGTACTCCAGCAAGTGGCAGGACCCTGCCGACAGACAAAAAGGCAGGATCATGCATCGTACCAACAGCAGGTCATGAACTTGGTGTAAGCCATTAGGCATCTAGAGCTAAATTTTGTGTCTGAGCAATGAGTGGATTGAAATTATCTGCAATTATTATGCAAACCCGTCATTTTTAAGAATACTGACTTCTGTAACGCTGTTTTCAGTGTGTTATCACAGATGAAGTTGTGGATCAAGGAAGAAAGGAAATATTCTCATGCAATCTTTTCTTTACTTACTGAAAGGTAACTAGACTAATGAACAATAAGTGGCAGTGATTTTCTTCAAGACAGCCATTCAATTAAGTCTTACTACAGTCTGTTTTTCCTTAAATATTGAAGAGAATCCATACGGTTGCCTTGAAATGCCGGTAAACACAATTTCAATTTGCAGCTTTGTCTACAAAGACCTCCCTCCTGAGCAAGCATCAACGAAAGTAATGAAGCTAAACTGGCAAAACACCGTTTTCTAACCAGCGTTTTTGAATCCTGAACTAAAAACCAGGACATGGATTTCAGTCAAGCTTCCAAGATCAGTATTTGTTTAGTTAAAACAGGAGAAAGTCCCAGGCCAGTGTTTTAGGAGATTTTCACTTTTATTTTAAGTAACAGCTGTCACAGCAAATGACAAGGAAGAAGTTACCTCTACCATTATAAATTACTCCACACAGCTGTGGCATTTAGAAACAAAAGAATCTATAAACATCTAGCTTGCATAATAAACTAAAAAGTAATACACCCTTTAAAGAAAACACCTTTAATAAAAACGTTTCAGAGACTACTACTCAGCGTGGGCAATAACAATAAGCATTAACTTTGTGTAGGAAGCATTCTGCAATTAAGAGCCCACAGCACAAATAAAAACAATGCAACAACCCCCTCACGCAGATTTGCTGAAGACACTTCATTGAAATAGGGAATATAAGGCAATCCTTGTGAGATAAATACTGACACTTCTCTGTAACACTTTTTCCCCTCTTCTGAGGGCATTGGCTTGTTTAAACACATGCTTATGAGGACATGCCATAAGATTTCAGTAGTGACGCAGGATATCACAACTTACAGCTCGGTACCTTCAAGGCCAGAAACAAGAGTTTTCCATGAACAGAATGACAGGAAGACTGCCAGCTCCTTAAGGTGGAAGTTACACGATCTTGCCCTTTGCCTAGAATCTCCCCCCAAACAACAGCTCTGAAAGTTGCAAAATCTTAAAGAATTTAGGTATTAGATACGCTTAGACAATGTTTTTACTGCTTTAGGTTTGGTTTTTCATTGTTACATAACGTGCAATTGGGTTCCTTCAGTAAAACGGACCATGCAAACTGATGACGTGCTACTTACCACTGAAAGCACAAAGTTGAGAAGAGCTGTTCCACTATGGAAGAGGATTGTCACTAATGTTGTAACTGTAGTAAACAAGAGGCTCACATTGCGACTCATCACTATCCACAGAGACTCCAGGATCTGGAAAAGGAGGGGGAAGCAAAGGCAAAGTCAGGCGCCAGACGGTATTAGCTAGGACAGAAAACTTCTTACAGAGCGATTCATCTCCATCAAGTCACACAAAGATCACATTTTTCAAAAAAATCATCTTCCCTCACTCCTAAATTACAGCAGGTAATACCAAGTGAACACGCCTACTTTACCAGAGACCAGTTTCTAGGCAGATGGTTACAAGGTTTTAGAATGTTTCTTCCAACACTCAAAATTATTTAATTATGCAAAACTGCAAAAAATCTAGATGCGGTGACACTTGTTTATTGCAATCAACAACACCATCAATTGAAAGCAGATCTTGTCTTGGTAAAGAAACCTCATTTCAAAAGCAGAAATGCTAAAACACAAAGAGCAAGGAGTAACATCACAAGGTAGAAATACATCTGAATACAGCTTCAAATCAAACAATAGAATTACTACTTTAATAAATTGGTTTTAAAAATGTTTATGGTAACAAGATGCATGATTTTTATAATGACTGCAGACAACTACACAAGTTGTGACTCTGAGTAGGGATGCATCAGTTAGTCAAGCAATTATGGAAAATAAATCAAACTGCTAGACAATCTATTAAATTTTGTACTGCTTTGGGGAACTGATTGCTTATTAGCTACTGATAATAGAGAGCAGTTTTGAGACATGCCTTTAAACACAGAATACCCACTACAGCCAAATTAATTTATGTATGGATGCAGACACATGAATCTGAATAGGGCAACAACTTCATGAGGCATAAAGGCATGGCACAGCATGGCACACGGAGGCATCGTAAATGCAATGCACAGTAGTTTCATAACAAATATTTCACTCAGTAAGAACGTATTAGCCAAAGTAATTCAAACATATAAAAGAAGCAAGGTTACAAACAGAATGCCATACCTTCTTTCAGACTAATATAACTGGAAAAAGCGTTTAAGTTCTGACACAAAAGCCCTTCTCCAGGTTTAAAGCTGTAAGTGAAGACTTGTAAACCAGCAATAGTTACTCTTGGTTTAATGAATATCTTAATCAATTACACTGAATTAAAACAAAAAAAACCCCAAAACACAAAAAAACTGTAGCTGGCATTTGTAGAGCAAACATAGGAGCGTGAGCCATGTGATTGCCTCTCCTTTGGAACTGAGTGAAACATATAGAACATAATTTATTAAGCATAAACTTTGGAGGGAATAAGTGCTGGGGGATGTGACAGGGAATTACAACACATAGTAAAACCAGACACATCTGCTTAGTTCACGCTTCTTACTATTTAATGGGAATTATGAATTTTAAGGCTCATCTTCTGAACAGATTTATTAGTCTCTCTTGAGAATTCAAGTGAGGTTAGAAGCGAAGAGGATGTTCTGCTGAAGTATGTTCCTCCACTGGTACCTGTCCCCCTTCTATGAATTAAGCATTCATTCTGGGGGTGCAGCAGTGCTGCAAGCTCATGCAGCTGCCAGGTAAACTTATTAAATGTACATTACACTATGAGGACTGTAAACACAGAAGACAAGTGATTTTTGAGGGAACAGTTTTGCAGCTAAAGCAGAGATCTTTCAGTTGGTATTCAGTAAAAACAACACGCTATTGCTAATAACAGGCTAACTGTGCAAGGCTCCAGTCCCAGGTGTTTAAGCCTGGTACTAGAACTTTGGGTGTGGAGCTTGGTGCTGCAGGTCTCCTGTTACAATGTAGCGTTTAACTACAGAACAGCAGCCAAGGCCTTGAAAATAGGGACACAGCTTGAAAACAAAGGCCCCTGAAACATAAGCAGTTCACTGAGAAAGAAGGCACTGAAGACGCACCACCTTAGGAGCTGGGAAAAGACTGCTTTTGCTTTAAGAAAATGTGGTAACAACTAAAGAAGGGGGAAAAAAAAAACCCAAAACTGAACAGGCAAGCAACAGTGCAAGGCACCTGCCATGACCTGGAAAAGTAATGCCTCTCCACGTATCAGACAGCATATAGCCCAGAGCAGAGGTCAAGAGGTGGGAGTTGTCCAGAAACAAAAACACCTTATGAAAGGACAAGCTCCTTCATCTGAAGGAAGAAGATGTCCATTTCAGTTCCAGCTTTCTGTAGGTAAGGGCTCTCGAGCCTGCTCACTTTGCCTTGTGTTGGTGCCAACTACACAGCATCACCACGATGGTATTCTGTTCTCACAGCCCATGTAGGATATGACTGTTAAGGACCGACCACATTGAATACATAAAGCTAACAATTACTAGATTGTAAACAAACCATTAGCATGAAGTGTGTTGTTAATGAAAGTTGGTCTAGTAAAGTTTTGTTTTAAAGACTAAAACAAGACTGATTTATCCTTCTTCTAAATACTAATCACAGCAATTGTTAATTCCCTCCCTCGCACACCATCAGTCGCAACACACCAGTGGAGCTGAGACTGGTGAGCGGTTCGCAATGAGAGGCATGTTCCATCTGCTGCAAGAGAGCATACATCTGGTGGGAGCTGGCAAAGTTTCCTTCAAAAAAGCATGTTCCTCCAGTATAGGCTGTATTTGTTTAACACTTTCCCTAGAAGCTTTAGCTTAAGGAGCTGATAACCAGTATACAATTGCAATTAGTTTGAATGCAGTTATCAGGTGGTTCGATCCGTATCGAGAATGGTTCTCCCAGAAGAACATCCTTGTTAGGCAGAGTCATTGACCAGAACTGTTGAACTAGTTATCATCAGCATTTGCTGTAGAGTGAGTGTGGACAGTGCCTTTCGTTCAGCTTCGGTATGTCTTATGAAAGCAAGTCCACCTTTCAGGACTCGTCTCCAGCTAGAGTAAGTTCCTCTTTATGAATATGTACCGCTAAAATTTCAAGACACATGCTTTTCATTGCTAGGATGAGAAGACAGACATTGCAGACGTTAATCATTAGTGAACAGAGTATCAGAAAGTGCTCAAATACTTCACTATCAGTCACAAAATCAAAATACGTGTACCTGCACCCAAGAGCTCATAATGCCGTTTGAATCCCAGAGCGTACTGCGGCTGAGTTAATGAGCCCAGTTACTACTCATAAACAATTTCTAACACCTTGCCAGCTGAGACCAGTTCTCCAAAACACAACTAAGTGCAAATAATTACGCAATAATGGTACTTTTAATACTACTGTTGTTAACTAACTGAAAAACTCATCTCTTTCCCCAAAACACTGCTTTTTAAGACATCAGTGTTTGAAAGGGCTACGAAGCTGTACAGAATTCAAGACTCCCTTATGCATCACACTGTGATGCATCACTGTCAGCATCAGTTGCTGTGCCTTTCCAATCTGTAACAGACAAGAAAACCAAAGTGCATTTAATGTTTTTAGCCATCTAAAGTGTCCTACTGGCCACTTAAACTGGCCAATACCTGAAAGCAAGGTTTAAAAGACATGTGACCGAAACAAGTTATTTGCTGAGAACTTCAAGTCAACAAACTTCTGGAAGCTAGGTAAATTCATGTACCTAATTTGATTATAAAAATCATTTACAGATATATAAAGGGAGTAAAACTGGACACAAAGAGGTACTTGGGAAACAAAGTTTGCCTTTCTGTATACTTTCAAATTTTTTTTCTGTTCAGAAAGATGTATCATCCTGACAAGTCAAAAAAGACAGCAACAGAGCAAGTCAATAAACCTTTAAGGTAAAAGAAAAGTAATGGACTTTGTGAAGGATAATAGAATATGCACAAGATCAAGGGCTTCCTGCTCCAGTTAAAAGCTAATTTCCAAATAAATGTTTACCCATAAAGTTCTCGGCTAACCCTTCAGAGCTCAATGGCTTAGTTTTGAAAAAACATCTTTGCTTGACCTTTAGATGAAACAGAGACAAAACGGCTGCAGAAAAAGGACTATCCTCCAGCATCATGTCTTTGACCTTCTGATTGTAAGGAAATCAACTCCTCCTCTAAAAATATGCATCAGGTTGAATTTCACCTACCCTGAAAAAAACAACACCCATTATGAAGAAGAGAACACCAAACCTCTAAACGCTTATCTTACTAGAAAAGCAAAATGCATGGTAGTTGAATTATTACTTATGAATGGACTGTATTAGCTATAAACGTAGGAGATTCCTTGCAGAAATTCTCAGGGCCAGACAGACATTAAGATATGTGGTAACTCAGTGAAATATCTGAGAAATTCACTTGATTCGGAACACACAGATCAGTCATGCTAAAGGGATGGATAGAGAAACCTAACTAAACTGAAACTCACTGTGTACGTCTTAATGGAAGGTCTTCCGTCTTCCTGTCTGGGAAATCTCTGAATAAGATACCAGCTGCTGCTGGAATGATGAATATTCTTGTGCAAGATGTAAAAAGATCAATTTAAGTAGACACTAACAATGTCTCATACACCACCAAGGAAGTTTGGAGTGATCATTCACAGATTTACCCAGCAGCAATTTACTTTTTCAAGGTTTCAGGCCTTCAAGAAACAGAGGAAAAGGTTATGAATGCAAAAGCAGGTGAGTGCAGAACGAACGAGGCTTTTCTGTTTTTCAGAAATTAAATCTTAATAGTCCAGCTACGCACTGCATATTTCATTCACCTGAAAAACTACCTTAGAATAGAGCATGGGGTGTAATAGTTGAAGCATACATGAGGATCCACTCTAGTTGTCTCCCCAAACTAAGAACAGGATGAAATAAACCCCACTTCGGAAACACATCACTGGATAAACTAGTTTATAACACTACTCCTTCTAAAGAATACTGGAAAAATCCAAAGCTGAGAGGCAGCAGTGCTGCTAACACCAAAGGTTTTAGAAAAAAGCAAACTGATGATTTGGAAAAGCTTATCTTCATATTAAATCTTCAGGCAATTTACACGTTTATACAGTGAATTACTTCAAAATAATTAAGGTCTGTCTACATCAAACTAGAGCTAAGTATAACTGCAATAATGAACAGCACATTTTGAGGGGGGCACATAAGTCTTCTGTGCTTTACCTGATACTCATAGTTAAAGTACTGAACTGATGCATATTGTTGCAAATTAAATGAATGACAGTAATTCCCCAGCACAGCTATACCAGTGATTTAATTATATGCTTTCAACACTAATATGAAAGTTTCTTCCACTACAGGAAAAGCCTGAAGTGAAACACTTGCATCTGGCTTCTTTTAACATTTTTCTTACTGCAAATGCTCCTTCTTTTACTAAAGAGGATGAGCACTTCCTATCATTTCTGCCAATGGAAAAGAGCTTATCTGCTTGTGATTGCAATATGACACTGTCAAATAGCTGTATTTTCCGAGAATACAGTCACCTGTACTACTATGAAATATTTCAGAGAGCCAAATGGCTATCAAGACAGTTATTCTATGATAAACTCTAGCCTCAATCTATGCACAAGAATTTATTATGTGCAAGTAGTATAATCATAATTTATTCTTTGCCAAAGGTGTTAGAAATCTCACTATAGCTGCATATCCACACACCCTTCTTTACAATTATCTCATTGTCTTTAAGTGGTTTGCGTCTTAAAAAAAAAGTCAAAGCAGTTTTAGGACTGTACCATGCCTTGCTATATTCTTAAGAATTGCAGGTCAGTGTTGATCTCAAGTGTCCAAATGCAGAAACATCCTACAGTTGAAATCATAGCAAACCTATGTAAAACCCCCCCACAATCCCCACCATATGCAACACACTCAACAACAAAAAAGAAATCCCACAAAACACAGAAAAGCAAACAACACAGCCAAAAACCCCAAACCAAACACAAAATCCACTCAAAAGAAAAAAGAAACCCCTAAAACCAACCCCCCCTCAACAGCATTCATACAATTTGAAACACTGATCCTTCCCAATTCAGTATGCCATTCCAATAACTCATTGTTCCTCTTCAAAATACCAAAAGAAAAATTATCATGCTCTGATAAAAACATAAATTCCAAATACAGTGAGCTTCCATTGTATCCTATGGTAGGTAAGTAACTTGCTTAGAAACATTAGACTTAAGTTACAACTATTCTTATTTTCATCGCATCCAAGTTTTAATGACTTCAACAAGCACAGAAATCAGATTTTCATCAATTTTAATTTGAAATACCAGTGCGAGTAGTATTTATGCAATGTGCTGTAGATGAGCAAGCCAGCAAAGAAAGTGCTGCCCAGTAAGGATGGGAAATCAGGGTTTAGTGCTATATACTATGCTGACTGGTTTACAGTCTGTCCTTAAGGCCATGAGGGCATGGAGAAAAAAAGACAGGTGTTTCCCGAGAGCCGGTAAGTAATGAGTTCACGGAAATAAACAGGAAAGCAAGTCAACTTTTGTTCCTGAACTTCTAAACCAGATTTTAGAAGTAGAGCAAAGCATGCTACCTAGATGAAAATTTTAATATTAATGTATTCCAGTCTTAAATATTTATTCTCTTTACACTATTTCCTGCATTAGTCTAGCCTATTTAGACTACTGAAGCACACTTATCATCATGGTTTCTGAGCAGTGTGCAGCAATGCTGTAAATGATACAGCTAGCACCTATCAGGTAGTTTCTCCTCCTTCTGTACCTCTTGGCTAGAAAGAAATTCCATATTGATTTCAAATGATGATGTGCTGTGCATTTTTATAATCCTGCCTCAAGCACGCATGGTCAACTTTGAGACAGTATTAAGCAAATTTCACTATTAACTGAAAAAAGGATCACTGCAATAAAAAGTTTCTCTCAACTTTTTCTTGACTCATATCTTCTTGTATGATAGAAACTGTAACCATTTAAGCAGCAGTTGAAGGAGGACAGAAAAAGCACACGTGTCCATCAGTCTAACCCAAGAACTGCCTCAAGGCAAATACTATCATTACACACTTGCATCCACAGAAATGCTGTGTTGCGAGTTAGGCATAAATAATAATCTTCCAAAATGGATAAACAGTGACATGAAGATACTTCTAGTTTATGACAACAGCTCAAGTCAAAGATGAACTATATTGGGGGCTGACTCTGCATATTAAGCATTTCAGACTTAACATCTTGTTTTAGAGAAATGCAGTTGCCTCAGTTTGGATTGCTTTCAATGCTTTTTCTTTTTCTCCTTATGAGGTGAAAGGTCCAGTATATTAATTCAGGAATTTACACAGTGTAAAATATTAATTTTGTTCTCCACAGAACTTTCATAAAAGAACGGAGAAATAAGCTGCTTTCAACCCAATGAATAATAATTTGAAGGGAAAAAAAAGTAAGACTACAGAAAATGTACGTTTTGTTTTCACCACCTCTTGGTCAATGGTTTCTCCAATTATAACCTAGACAAATTGATCTCTTTTTAAAAAAGAAAAGACTACATAATATAAAGTGTTTTATAACCAGCTTGCAGGTGACTGGAGTAATCCTACAGTAACAATGTCTGTCAGGAAGTCTGGGAAGCTAGTATTAATGAAGATGCTGAAATCAGCAGGGCTTCTTTATCACAAACAGTTCTGTTTGTAGTATGGTTATATCCTACATAGGCTTACCATAATTGCTCAGGTAAGTAACACTAACAGTGTTTCCATGATTTTCCATGTACTTGAATCCACAACCTTAGTGGCAGTCCAAAGAGGAACTGTAATCAGTTAAAAATGAGACCAATTTGGTAATAAGGGCAAAAGATACATACCGAAAGAAACGTTTCAATGTTATCATGAACAAATGATGCAACATCTTGCCAGTCCAGAATATCACCCAGCCAGCTGTTTTGACGGTTTATGTGCCATTTGTGTCCTTTGTTTCTTCCAGAATGTGTCACATTCTTAAAAAGAGAGACAAAAACATAAAGAAAACAGACATTTGAATAACTTTCATAGGAGAAAGCCAAAGACTAATGATTTCTCAATGAGGAACAGATCCAACATGCATCTAAATACTTGGAGCTGCTTTAATTGGCATCCTCAAAAATACCTGGAAGTACTCTGTACACTGGAAAAATTAATATCTGACAGAAAACCATAGTTAATTATGCCTTATAGTTACAGTTGTGTATAATGTGCTGATTCACCTCAGTTAAACATTAGCTATACTGCTTGACTGATACAATGGCATCTATCTTACCCTTTATGAAAGTACACAAGAAAGAGGTAATGATTTCAGTTACCGCTTACATAATTTATTCTTTGCAACATACACCTTCTTCCAGTACAACCCACAAAGGAAAATGCAAGCAGAAATCTAAACAAGCAGCTTTCTCACAAGCAGTGTCTACTTCCTCCACTGGCAACGTTCAGTCATGCAAAAGCAAAAAGCTAAACTGGAAGCATGGAGGATTTCGTCCGAATACACAGCTTTGTAACTGCAACACAGCAAGACAACAGGAAATGGCCATAACCACTAAACTGGAAGCATGGAGGATTTCGTCCGACTACGCAGCTTTGTAACTGCAACACAGTAAGACAACAGGAAATGGCCATAACCATAGCAGTTAATTCCTTAAGTGGCTTCACCCTAATTATGAAGTCGCCTCTTGTCCACCTGAATCACACCTGACCACTGTCTAGCATGAAACTATTTGACCCAGTCTGGGGCTGTAATAAGTGTTTCAGAGAAGGATGCCAAAATTCTGCTGTAAGCAAGTCAAAGCAAACTCGTTGACTACAACAAATCTCATCCTAATCTTTAATAGCAAGCAACATCAAGTTCTCAACTGTGATGTTTCTATCAACATCCCACTACTTCTGTTAGAATTTTCCAAAAACTTTCAACCTTACCAGCCTGCATTCAAAAAGACAGTATCCTTTTTGGCATACACGGCAAGCAGTATTCCAACTGAACTCCCTGCACTGCTTTATCTAAGAGCATTACATTTTCTGCTTGTTACAAGTTCTCCCTGGATGCATTGTTACACTTTATGACTAACAATTAGCAAAGCTCTTTAACAATCCACAGTAACATACAGATCTTTCTTCTGAATTGGCAGTTGATTTAGAGCAGAAGTGTGAGTAGTCAGAAACCTCCCCCCAATAGGCCTTCTGTCTTTGTAGATTGCATCAAGAACGTATTTCCTGTTCATCTAGTTACAGTCACAAAGACAGCTCTCACCATGAATTAGCAGAATTAGGTATCATTTACAAATATTGTAACATTGTTACTAATACACTTCAAAAAAATTGCCAACTGGTTCATCTTCAACAAATTCCCTAGATCTTAAAAACAAAACCCAACACTTGAATGGACTAGGAAGAGGAGATTCTTGTCCTTGAAAAAGACACCTTAATTGCACAGTTATGCCATCGTCTTCCAAGGGGTTTGTTATTCTGTTAATATTTTAATTCTTCGAGTATATAGACACAACGGTAACTGATCTATCACAATATGTCTAGAACCTTTTAAAATATACACCATGTGCTATCTACCGATCTTCTCAGAAAGTAGCAGTTAATGGTTGAATCCATGTTTCGTCAGCAACTCTTCCTCAATTCTACAGCTTTCATGGAAGAGTATCACCTGAGCCTGGGTTCTTCAGTCACCTATAGACTACAGCAACACTATGCAGGCCTCAAAATGTATGCTCACACAACTGAAATAGTGGGGAGCAGGAAAGCTGTACCAAGAGAGTTAGATACGGTGCAGAAGTCCTCCACACCACGCTATCATCTATTCACCAGTTTTCAGATACGCTGAAGGACCATGCAAGGCTACTGCAACATTACTGAAACAAGTAGCCAGGTGGAAAGCACTCAGCTGAGACATTTACGTGGATATGGAGCGCAACAGAAGAGGCAAGATTCGAAATAGACTCTGGGGGAGTTACCTGCAGCGCACAGATAATCGGTTGTAGCCCAGCTTGCCAATGGTAACACAGGGTCTCCAGTATGCAAACAGCAGCCAGAGGAACAGACTCCAAGATTGATTTCTAAGCAAGCTGTTTCTTACCCTATCAGAAGAATATCTACACAAAAGAAGCCTCACAGCATTCCCTCAAGTAACAGCTGCAGGAAAGAAATCACACAAGACAATGAACACAGACACAACCTGTGCTGTGCACCGCAGCAAGGAAAGTACTCCCACAGCACACACGGTGACAGAGTGCCCGACTGAGCGACGCAGTGCTGTGCACTGACACACAGGTCCCACCAGTAAAGGCAACAGGTTTATCAGTATAACTGTATCAAAAGTAGGCACTTCTCTTGGTAAAGCATTTAACACTGAATACTCCCAAGTGCCTAAGGCCAGCAAAATCTATTGTAGATGCAGCTTTAACTTCTCCTTAGTGGTCCCATATTCCTCAATGGCATCATCATACCTCTCCACATGCTCTTCCACAGCATCATCTTGTCAGGAAAAGAAACTGATTCTTTCCCCTACTATTTTAACTACCATACTGAAACTCTGACTTCATTTAATAGAGAGCTCTTCTTGGAACTTTAATGGTACTTTAAAAATTACTGTATAAAGAAAAGCGTTAGTATAATTGCAATTCTTTAACTATAAAGAAGTATTTCAGGGGTATGACTTCTGGATTTTGATACTTCATTGCACTCTGGCTAATGAATTTCTTGCTTTTTCCTTTAAAATGCAAATAGCACTGGCAGCATGAAAATGATTTAACTCTTATGACCTTTTCAAAATTCAGTGTGCAGAACAGTTTAGGAAGGCTAGTACAGTTGGCAAAAATGCATTGTAAGAAACTTAGTGAAAGCATAATTTCTTTCTCAAAATTTCAAATTAGTAAGAGTTACACAAGTCATGCAGAATACCAGTTTCCTTTTCCTAACCCCTCAAGATCACGAAAATGCAACAGAAAGCTCTAAACTATGAAACACTAAATATAAAAACTAAGCAAAGCATAAATTAAGTGGCATACATAAAACCACACATAACTACTTAAGTGAAGGACATAGTTCTGGCTGTACCCAAAATTTGACTGTAGAATGATCTATCTTACACACCTGAAAATTTTTATTATTATGACCTTTACTCAGCATTCCAACTTTTTGCTAATCTTTCTCAGAAATGCATACTTAGCATAATTACCTCAAAGCACTACATGACAGTTTCTATACATACCTTTAAGTAAGATACCCACCTTCACGAACCAAGAATGATAAAGCCTGTCCCAGAGCTCTAGCACTTGTTTTTCAATCACAGCAGTGTTATTCACTTTTTCTCCCAAAATCTTATGGAGCTAAAACATATAGAAAAACTTCTATTATACAGAACAGAATGAAGCTGGCATCTACGGATATACTCCAAGCCAGATGAATCACATAACACTGTCAGTTAAGGCATGGCTCAAACCCACATGATTAGAAAAGCTGAGTATCAGTACAGAATATGCACATCAGACAACATGGTTCACAACATCAAGGCTTTGTCTGTAAAAAACATTCTGCAGCACTAAACTGAGGACTTCCTTCTGCACCAAAATACCAACACCATCCCTAAAATGTTTACTCCAAAATCCTCAATCATCTTTAGAGTAAATATCTGAAATAATCTGAGATGAGTGCTAGATATAAAAATGTATAAATAAGAATCTTTGCAAATTCTCCAGAAGAAAAATTTTTTAAAAATCCAATCTACCACACAGAAATTAGAATAGTGGTGGGGGAAAGACAAAAAAAAAAAGTCTACATTGTCTACAGTTGGACAGCTAAAGACAGACGAAAAAAATCTACTCCTCTTTATTTGATGCATTTTCACTGGCAATCTTATTAAAATGATGACAGATTTTTCAGCTCTTAAAAATAAATATTCCTCTGAGTAGAAAAGAGTACTAAAATCACGCCCACCCTTCCTTCAACTCACAGAGTGGAAAGAAAAGATCTGTCAACAAAATGGTTAACCACACAGAAAAGAATAACTGACAAAAATCTTTCTCTTTCTTTTCACTTTTATGAAATACAAGAAATGAAAACATTTAAAGAAGACGGGGGAGCTCGCTCTTACCTTATGTGTAATCCATTCTCGGCCATATTGGTATACATTATTAGCTGCCGAATTGAGTGCCTTCTGAATAACCTGGGCTTCTGGGAGCCAGCTAGTTTTTTTTAAAGAAGGAAAACAAAGTTAACTGCCACATAGTTTACCCATTTCATTCTACATGAAACACATTAAAAATCTAATATTTTGAAACAACAACAAACAGTTACGGTTAAATACATATAAACTCACTACAACCAGAATATTTCCTTCTACGTACCAAGGAACAGACTTTCTCATAAGCAAAGCACAATTAAATCTAGGGTACGCCATTGCATTTGGAATTCTCCAAGGTTCCTGAAACCTTGCTATCTCAACTTTTGAAAAAGAGCTGTGCTCTTCCATCTATCTGCATGCTATTCACATCACACTCTTAGAAATGTTACAAGTCTTCTAGTTCTCTGAAAATACTGTATGAAGCAGTCTCATCTAGCTGCAAAGACAATCTTCTGAATTACGAACTGAATGTAAATTGTTAATGTAGTCTCCCTGAAAAAGTGACCAGATTAAGCAACAGATTTGTGCACCAGGTATTTCTAAGTCCCCACCAAACTATCTGCTCATGAATTTCTTCAGGGATTCATGTCACTTTCAAGCAATGGACTTACTGAGTTGCCAGCATTCCAACGCTTGTGAATACCGGGCACACATTCTCTGCTTTGACTTTCTTTGTATGCCTTGATTCAACAGCACATGTTGGAGACCTTCCAAATCAAGAAAGCATTCGGGAAATACAACTACCACATTTGTTCACCTGACTGAAGCTCAACATGGAGACTTTTCTGTCTGTATAACCCTTCAGAAATGCTCTGCATTGGAATTCCAAGACATTTCAGTCACTCGCCTCTAAAAGTAATGTGAGCATCAAGCTCTGACAGCTGGTGAACCTTGATGGATTTGACAAGCAGTATAGTTACTCTTAATGAATTGAAAGATAGTGGTTTGGATGCTGCAAATTTGGATGCAAACACTGGAAATACAAATTTAGCTAAAATTCTGCTAATTACTCCACTAGTACTCCAGTATTTTCATTATATGAATAAGCTTCTGGAGGTCAAATTTCCATTTTCATTAGTCCTACTTATTTCCACCTTACCACAAAATGGAAACAACACAAGAAATGCCACAAAGGAATAAATAAACACATTTTTAAAGTGCTTTCTGTTCTCTTGATTGTGATTACCTAAGTGTTGCTAAAGCACATATTACTATAGCACTTATTAACTATATCATTTTAGTTTTGTTTTTGAAAATTTCTCTTGCTCTTATAATACAGCATGCACTTTCTTTCAATCCTGTTAGGCCATCATCACATTTGCTTAGAAAGTGCCCTTGAAAAAAGTCAACTATTCTTGTCCAGGGGATAATTCTTTTTTCCTGGACTCACCTTTAGTCAATGTCTGTTCAGTTGAAGCAGAACAAAAGCAAACTGGAACATCCTCCTCCCAAAACCGCACTCCTCAGTCTTACCTATTCCCCCTCTGCTGTTCATGCAATCACTTCTTTGCTCACCAGTGTGCCCTTGTTTTTCTTTATATGCATTTCTCTCAAAACCTTCTCTCTCCCGCAATATTTGCCTTGGTGTTTGCTTTAATCATTAAACCGATCATATCTTACAAACTTCCCACCGTGTACACCGTACTCATCTGCTCTTAACAGGAACAGCCCTTCCCAACCAATTCATACAAAACTCTCCCCACTCATCATTCTTTGCACCCCCAGACTCTTTTTCGGTTCAGTCCAAAAACATTTTCTTCAACTCCTATTCCCTTTAAGGCATTCTGCAGCCAGCTCTCCACATTGAAAACATAATTCAGCTTTCATCTCACAACGTTCTACAGAAAGCATACTTTGTCATTACTTTTCTTTTGCAGGTAAAAGGAAAATGAATATTGACCTCTTTATTCTCTGCACTATGCAAGTTTTTCTCCAAAACTGTAACTAGAGAAATTTATACAGCTGTCCTTCTCCACTGAAGTCCAACCAGTCCTCAAATGAGACACCACACTGACAGTCCTCCAGCGTAATGCATAAACACTACTGATGTGTGAGAGTTTAGCTTTTACATCTCTCTGCAACAGTCACTCCCATTTCTGTTCACCAAAAGGATTTTTTTAAATTAAAAACTATGCATAAAAGTATCTGGATGCTTGTTCATACACCCTATACTATTTGCTTAACTTCAACATTCTTACTTTGCCCATTCTGGGTGACTGGCTACTGTCTCATTGATCAAGCTGCTTGTGACTTGAATCATGTGAACGCTCTCTTGATGTACCTAAATTAAATATAGAGAGGAGAAATGTTACATAACGCAAACTAGAGCTCTTCCTACATTCAGAGCAGCTTTTTTTTTTTTTTGGGGGGGGAGGGGAAGGGGGCAGTGACCAGTTTATACATTTAAAGAATAATTCTTCCAATGCAGACAACCCCTTACGAAGAACGAAGCGCATTAATCCGAAAAAGCAGTCAATACAGTAATCATCAGTCTGTTCTGACAATTTTGGTCACACACTGCGTGACCAGTAATAGCAAATGGAAATTTAAACCTTATCAGTCAAAAAAATTCTAACAATACAGCAGTGCTGCCAAGGGAAGTACTAAATACAAAGCACAGTTTCAGATATACCTTTTTAAGCCACGGATCAAAGAATTGTAAAAATTAATGAATGCTCAGCTGTAACACGACAAACCATGCTATGAAGTGCCTCACCAAATTAATTCTCCAATAAGAATAATAAAAGCACCTTTTCTAAGTATCCTAATGTTCCTTTTATGAATATAAGAAATCTTTAGGCAGGAACGTTTGCACAACTTCTAAAGCTTTCAATTTTAAGTACTCAATGTTACATAAGCCTACATTTTGGAAAAAGGAGATTGACATCAGAACCCACTGATTTTTGTTCTGTGACTGTATTCAAGTCAAGCATTCAATCTCCATTGACTGTTTCAAGTACGAACACGGCTCCAATAACAAAAAAAAGAGAAGTACACGAGTGACCTCTTCTGGTGAGCAAAAAAACACCAAAACCCAACCACAAACCAAAAATCAATCTCTGAAAACATGTGATCATGAATCTCAGCACATGTAAACTCAGAACAGGATACCATGAGGTTACTGCAGGCAATTACACAAACAAATTAACAAATACACCTCACGTATTTTGCAAATACGTTTCTGATGCAAGGTAAATCAAAAAGAAAAAATTCTAAGCAGCGCTGTCGCTGACCAGAAAACTGTAGCAGGTTGCAAAACAAATCTGTTTCTATAATAGCTAAGCTAGTAATTATTTTACTAGAATAAATTTTCTATTTCCAAATGTCTATACGTTAGTTTTGTCATATATGGAAATAAACATATAAATACAAATAAATATAAATATACAGATTTTTATACAAAGGAGGTCTTAAAATGATAACAAGTTCAACTACAGGTCATTTAGCTGCTAAATTTTTCAAAAAAATCTTTAAGGTACACAATTTTGCATAAATATCAGTAACTTTCATTCAGCATTTAAAATAAGCTCCATGATTACATTCCTTAGCACACTGTACCTTTGCAGTAAGGAGTAGGGCTAGCAGAAGGGTTCCTATCACTAGCAAAAATATTATGAAAATGCTGATTATTTTATCCAGCATTTTCTCCAACCACACGATCATCTGTGCAGAAAAAAGAAAAAACAAATCATAGAATATAAATCAATCTTTAACGAAAGCAACGTTATATGCCAGTATTGTTATCTTTATTTACAATCAGAGTGCAAAATCAGTCTCTAATCAAACAGCACTTATGCCCAAGCTTGGAGATGAACAATTAACAAGCGATGTTAGCATGATTAAGGTCATGGTATGACATGTGATTTTGCAAACGACATTTACACATTACCACAAGACACAGCAAGCTCTCTGCAAAGCAAGCAATAATTCAGTGTTTACTTACTAGACCTAAAGAAGCTAGCATTCATCTCAGCTATGAACCTCGGTATGTGCCTTTGTTTCTTGCCCTTCAGCAACTTGGAAGCTTACAGATACTATCTGCACTGGACTTGGAAGCTATCAAGGCATACTGTAAAGTACAATCATGGCTTTCAAATCTGAATAGCTAATAGCTATGTAAACTACAAATGAGGCATTTCTGCAAGTAACCAAATTTTTAAAGCTGCTCATCACCCTCTGAACTGAAATGAGGCTGGAGGTTTTCTACATTATTGAACACCAGGCCAATTATTCAGCACTGACTAATTCTATCCATTTCCAATTTTGAAAGGATGCTCAGCAATAAACATGCATCAGCTAAACCTACTGATACAGCAGACAGGCGTGTATGTTGTTCTGTCAATTCACGGCAAGGCCCATTCTACACAAGTCCACAAACAAATAATGATACCACTTAAGATTAGTGAAAATCTGATAATGTCATTCAAAACAATAAAACTGTTCAGCCACACAACTATGTAGAGTGCTCTAGAACAGTGTAAGCTGAGCTTCATCTCACATACAGATTAACCATTTACATAAAGAGCTATGCAAGCCCGTGCAAGTATAATAATAAATAAATAAATATTTCTAGCTTCTATGGATCAAATACCAAGGCTATTTCTTGCTCCATCTGGTATTGTTGCAGGAAAAAGCAGAAGAAATACAGCTGCAGAATTGGTGCTTTAAGAGACCTAAAGTCAAAGCCAATGCACAGTAGATGAAAGTATTTCCAAGTGACCACAAGTTATATATTTGGTGATTAGGCTGGTAACTTATTAGTTACTGATGTTACGAAACTACTAATACGCTTGCTGATGCTTTACATTAGTTCTTTCTTCATTATTTACCCTAACCCTAGAAGTGAAATTGGCTGCGGAACAAGTGACTTCTACAGACTGCTGTGGGATGATTATATTGGTTAACACTGAAATTTTATCTCCTATTTGAAAAAAAAAGTAGGGATTTTTTTTTTTTTGGTGCTTATCCTGTAGCATCTGAGCAATTAATGCACATTAAGCAATTACTTCTAAACTCCAAGTTCTTTTATAATCAGCTCCTTGTTTGATCTACATTAACACAAGGATTATATTTAGCAATTTAAAACTGTATTTCAAAATGATGAAGAAAACTGAAGAAAGTAAAATCCTTTTAAAAGAAACACGTGTTGAACCAGCAAGTTTCTGTAACAAAATCTGCACTGTATTATGACCTGCAGAAAGGAATTCAGAGAATCTGAAGGAATCTGCAAAATCTTTTGTCTTAGATATTTTTAACAGTTTTCAGCATTGCTGAAATATCTGAGCCACCAGAAATGCCCTGCCGGTGCTAGAGGGAGGTTACTTGCCTGCAGCAGTACTGCAGCTTTCTGAAAAAACTGAGTAGCCTCTGTGTGGTGCTGTCAGCTCTCTGGAAATAAGACTGAAAACAGCATTTGCTATGCCCTTCCAAGCCTCAGATACATCTAAGAATTATGCAAGAGAAGCAAGAAATAGACATCCCTGTTTCAAAGGTCAGAAATCAAATATATCCCTGAAAAACAATGGATGGCTAGGGGACGCAAATTTTATAGCATAGGCTTCAAAATGAAGCTATTAAAAATTAAAGCCGCCCTTGTTATTTCTTAGTTAACAAAGTTCAAACTAATAGCTATTTACTTTCTAACTTTCTAAGTCAAAGGTATGTAAGACTAACTGGTGGATTTCTTTTATAGTGCCTTAACCAGACTCACTGAATCGAAGAAATTGGTGGCACTGTCAGAGGTTTCCAAACATGCTAGCCTCAGTGATCGTGGGAGTGGTATCCAACAGATGAAATCTCAGTGCAGTTGAAGCTGGATGCTTTAGGTGTTTCACCATGGTAGCAACTATTGGAAGATCAAGCTCCAAAAGATCAGGAGGAGGACTCTCTCTGAACTGGAACATGACCAACAGTGGATCTTTTCTCGAAGCTCCTTACTGCGGGCTGGAGTATGCCTACACTGTCACTGAGGTGCGGCTGCCGCACACGTAAAGCCTGCATTACCTTTAATCTCGTTAGTAAAGTAATGGTAGCACTGACGTACCAGTACAGGCAGCAGCCTCAGCCATGCAAGCCCACCTTGGGTTTATTTACTTGGGCAGGTAGCCCAAGCAAGCTAGATGAAAGCCAGTTCTGCTATGCCTACAGGTACTGCAATTACATCTCTCATCACGGTCTTAAGGAGATCCAAGTCATACAGCTGGTACAGACAAATCGCAGGAGAAGACTGAATTGGATGAGCATTGTAGAAGTTAAAGCAGATGCACAATACTCATTTAGGGCTATATTTACTCCCTCTCCTTTAATTTCCTTCCTATTAAACATTCCTTCCTTCCTCTACATTTACCCACAACACTTCCTCAGCAAGCACTCACCTTTGCACACGCGTGCTAAATAATGCACAGGTGCTACGTTACTGCAGGTAAGCTAGACTGTTCAATCCCTGTGTGCTTCTACTTACCACTGAATCAGGTCCAGACTTCGTTCTTACCCCAGACCTCCCCTTTACATCCTTCCTGTAAACCACGGGCATGCACACAAAGACAAACATATGCTGACTAAATTCTAGTCATTAGCCAGAGATCATTAAGTTTTAAATTCAGTTCCAAGCTTCTAATCTAAAGGTTAGTCAACAGCAGGAAGCTGATTCTGCCACAAAATCCAAAATCACGCAAAGGTAAAGGAAAGCAAGGCTCCTAAGCTACAGAAGGTCACACTCATAAAACCAAACTGAAATGTTACTGATTTGTGATAGACTGTCTGCAAAAAACTGTCCTTAAATGACACAGTTTTGAAGGGAAAGTTATCAACCTTTTTGAAATTTTTAAATTCAGCTCACTGTAGAAACAGAAGTTTTTAAGATGAGTTGCATTCTGTTAAAATGCTTCTCAATCATTTGCAGGTACTCCCTGCTTTCAGCTTTTGGGCGATGATACAAACTGTATTACACTGTGCTGTAATACAGCTACAGCTCATACCTAACCATTGGCAAACCTGCCATCTAGACAGGTTCCCCATGTTACGCAGTATGATACATCACCTATGAATTCATATTTTCATGTGTTTCACACTGCATAGCCATCAGAAAACTAGTTTTTCTAGTATGTTTTATCTACCGCATTACCCACATGGTGAAACATACCTGGACATCTACTTCAGTTTCAAATAAATCTACATGAATTACCAAAAAGGACTATCGTTTTTCCTTTCAACAGCTTCACTATCTACCACAATTTTTTCCTAGACCTTTCTTTGACTTGTTGACATTTCCCTTTAGTTCTGTTAATATTCGAGGATATCAACTTCTTAACATAATCTGATGAGAAAAAGGGGAAGGCTGTAATAGGACACATCTCCGGGTTATGCTGAAATGAGTCAGATGAGTAGTCAAGTTGGAAAAGACAGAGAACAGTCTATATGAGATCTCAAGCCTACTCATACCAGTAGTCCCTCCAACAGCAACAGCAGAATTTAGCAATTCTTTCTAAGGACTCCTGCTATAGACAATGTTATAAAGAACAAATGACGCCAGCCCAGCTGAACCTGTTCTGTATTTTGGGCTGCATATACCATGTTAAACCACGGGATTCTGTACTATTCTTGTCTGCCAATAGAAGTTTCAAGCAGCTCTTTGACAGAAGCTCTTAGAATAGGAATTAAAAAACCCTAATGTTTATCACTAGCAGCCATAATCAACCATCATTTCAAACTTCGCTGTCTCTAGGTGGTATATTTTTAGTTTCTTGGTGGATTACCAGAAATTTATCTTGGTGTTCTCACAAGTACTTCCCCTCAAAGACAGGCAAAAAGGAGGAAGGTGCAGAGGAAGCAACCTTTTAACTGCATCCAGTGTTCTGTATTACAAGTCTCCTCCTTTCTTTGACTCTAATGACATTTCAACATACTCTACTGTTCCAAAAAGAAGAAAAAAACAACCCAACAAAACAAACCTGCGAGAACCTGACGGTTTGCACAGTACTTTTTGCCTTTCTTCTTCATCTGGATTATAATATTTTTACTACTTGCTCATCATGCACAGGGGTCAGCTCTGCATGTAACACTACAGGACTTTCATGATCTCTCCCTAGGAAACTGTAAAGTAAAACAGCAGTTTTCAAAAATAGCTCTTCAAAAAAACGCTCTGTTAAGAAACTAGATCCAGAGGTTTTTTCCCAATAATGCAAAACTCTGAAGTAAAAATAAAATCCAGACATTTTAGAGTTCAAAGTAATTACAGGGAAATTATTTTTGCTACCTATCAAGGAAAAAATTGATCTATATACATGAATTTTCAAATAAGCAAACAACAGACTCCAAGCCAGGAAAAAAAGTAATTGAGACTAAACTTTCACCTGTGGCTCGCTGAACTCAGCTCTTCACCCGAGCTGTCCTAACAAACCAATACCTAATCAAAAAAATTTTATGAAAGGTTATGGTTGCACATATTTACTAACCATAAGTCACTCACATAACACAAACATTTCAAAGTCAGGAAATAAAAAGATCATTTTTAAACCAACCAAAATATACTCAAGGGCAAAAGAACATTCAAAGTTTGCCCTCCTAGTGGACAATTATAACTGAATCATAGAGCAAGCAACCCTGTCCTCGTGTCCAGAAACACAGAAAGCCCCCCATCACATAACCCTGAGCTCACCGATTAAATATTCACGATCAAACCTTCTAAATCCATTATAGCTGCTCAGCCTAGACACTACACGCAGCATTATTCCCCTTCTGCCACCCACAGCAGGTACCAGCCATTTACAAGCACCTTTCAGAGAGCTGTGCCAGTGCCCCCACGGCCTGCATGCTCAAGACTGTTCTATTTGTTTTCAATAGCATTCAGTATTTCAGCGACAATTTCAGGTGCCTCTCACAACTTGCAAGGGAGATCTACGTTTTCTATTGCAATTGCTACTGAATGGAAAAGACAGGTGGTTGGTTATAAAACCACAGTAACCATTCTGACTCTCCCATTAATACTGAAGTCGTAAGCGAAGATAAAAGTTGCTGCTGGAAGCATCACCCATTTCCAGACCTGGTATCTGATTTTTTCTGTCACTTAATCACTTGATTTTCATATATTTTATCACATACTTGATATTAATCTTTAGAACTCTGAGGTGTTGCAGACGTACACGTGCCACAGGCACCCCTCTCCAGCTCTGTGTTTGTCTGCAGCAATGGCTCTGCTCAAGTTCCGCAGAGGTATCACCGCACTGAGGAGTTGTCCAGATTTCAGTCACATGAGACCAAACTTGGACCGAATCAGTTTTAACTTCTCTTGTGACGACAGTTCCTCAAAGAACAATAGTTAACCCTAGTGGACTAAGATGAACCATGGGAACTGAGGAGTACATTTCTTATAAAACACCGCACTTTTAAAAGCCACACAAAAGAAAATTTATTTTAGCTATACCAACGACTTTTTTTCTTTTTTTTTGTTTTTTTACCAGACCTCACTGCCCTTCAGACCGCCATTAGATTCAGCAGTTCCGAAACTGCGAGTATTCTCATTTCCCTCCTGCTACACCGAATACCACCAAGCATACAGTCCAGTCTGACACTTCAGCAGATGAACAGCACTGACTGAAGCCTGTCACTGCATTATTTGCAAGCACTTACATTTGTAGCTTTACAACTGTGCTTCACCGCTGCCATGTTAATTCAGTTAACTGATGCCTTCTCTGAGCAAAGAACAGCTCCCCAGTCCAGGGGAGAACTGGTTTCGTTCTGCATACAAGTGACGACCAGGAGAGATCAACTGTTCTTAAATAAAAGTTTCACTAAGTCAAGCTACTGCTTGAATGGCTAATACAATATTCTGCTGTACAAAACATTTAACTGTGCATTCATTTTAGTAGAAGACAAGATATCAGGTAGAATTATATGACCTTCAGTAGCTTATATTAAGAGCTGGAAAAGGGACACTTGGGAGAGAAAACTAAGAAGCAAGGCGTGTTAAGGAGTGTTCATGCTGCCAAAAAAAAATTAAAAAAAAAGACAACTCCCCAAAACCACAGAATCCGTTAGTTGGACTCACAATTTTTCTGTTTATTTACCTTCTGATTAAGCCAGTGCCACAGCTTGTCAGTGGCAGGGGGAGATGGAAGAAAAGAGAAAAAAGACAAGAACACAGTGGAAAATTACTGAAAAATGCAGTAATAGACAAGGGAAGAAAAGCAATGAGAGGCAGGTATAGTCATCCACAGAATGAAAATGAAATTGTTCCAAACACAATGGTAAATTGCAATAGGAAGAAAAGATCGTAATTTCTGATGCAAGAATCCAGATTTTACCATTAACATGCACTTCTTGAAACGAAGGAGGATTTAACTAATAATACCAACTTTAACAGAGCTATCAGCATAACCTGGCAATTCCAGTTTAGCTATACTGAGAGCTAACATTTCAGATTTCAGAGCAGGACTTGTAAAAGTACTCTGAGAAGGGTGCTCTACTGAAACACCAAAACTTAACATGAGACACTTGTTTATTGCATTAATGCTCCCACTCAGGCAGTTTCCTAGGTATTTCAAAACACTCCTATTATGTCAACTACTGTTAAACAAATTTTATACAGTTTTTTAGTACCACATTCATATTACAACATTCACATTCAATGGCACAACATCAAATATGTAATTAAATCTGATACACACACAACAGCAAATTGTAGATCAAGTAAATGTATGGGTATCATATAATTTTATTGGTTGTGCAGAAGGCTGCTTTCACTTCTCAACAGACAATCTCTCCTTTTCTACTACAGTTATTTTTCCTTACTAATTCTCACCCATACTGCTGAAGTACACCCATTTTAGGACCTAGTCCATGTATGACTACACTTTTAATTCTAGCCATTAGTAATCAGTTAGCATCATAATCACAACAGTGACAAGCTTGAACATTATTATTCATCTGCATTAAGAGGTTAAGATCAAGTAAGCAAAATTTGTTTCTCCCTGAAAACAAGATCACTGAATGCTCAATAGTGTTTTCACCAGTCACCAGAAATTATATTAGTTCCCAATGAAAACAAAATGTAAGAACATTTCAAATTAAAAAAAATCTCAGAATGTTCATTAAGTTATATCAGAAGCAAGAAGCAGATTTACAAAGAAACATGAACATCAAGAAACATGAAAATAAAGTATGTCACAAAGCACCCAGTTTTACTAACTTTTACTACTCATGGAAAGAATGACAGTAATGGAAAGCAATGACAAAGCTTCAAAAGCCTCAAACTGACACTGTAGAATTGGTTTCCATTTTACCCTTCATCTACACAGTGATTTAACAGTGAAAAAAAAAGGTAAAGTTGTTCACTGATTCAACAACATACTTTTGCCTTTAACTTTACTTCTGCATATTAAAAACCACTATACATTAGGTTAATTTCAGGAAAAAAACCCTTAGATCTCCTGGCTGTATTTCTCCACTTTGCAACTTTAATATAACAAAAGCTAGAGCTCCATCGTTAGCCTGAGATTTTAGCAGAATGTGAAAGAAAGTATTTGGTATTCTTCTATAATTTCAGCCTCCTGAAGTTGAATGATAAATATGTTAACTAGCAAATAACATTATATGTCAAAAATAAACATTAATAAAAAATGATTGTTAAGACCATATTTGGGAGGCTCTACCTTCCTACTATCTCACCAACACTGATGTTTAAGTAGTTGTACAAATGTAATCAATCTACATTTAAAAACAGGCTACAGCTTAATTCTAATCTTCAAGTCATCCAAAATTAATAGGGCTACAGCCATTTTTCCAGTATTTTACTGGAAAACTGTTTATACAAGATCTTACATGTCTATGGAAGCATTTCCTAGAATACCATATGCACTGGTAGAGATTCTGCCTGTTTTCTGTGCTTGCTTTAACTACATGCTAAACTTGGTACCAGAAGAACCAAATCTTGACTTTACCCAAAGTCCAAACAATCTATTATGTATAAAATTCTAGTATGCTATACCTAGTAAAAACATGTAACAACTACATGATTCACTGTAGTCTATCAGAAAGCATGCATGCAAAATACTAGCACATTCTAATTAACAGAAGTCCAGTGCACGCAGTTGAGCAACTGCTTATGCTGCTGAATTCCCTCGCAAACTCTAATCAAAATAAAACTAAAGTCACCATGTTAAAAGACTACAGTCTTCTTTTTAAAAAAAGAAAATTATCAGTGAAGCAAATTATTAGTTCTTGACTGCTGATAAGAACACGTATGACACCACAGCTGTTTAGTTTTAAGACAACTTGATGGAACAGAAACCTCCCCAACTCTTTCCTCCAGAAGTCTCTCACATCTGACCCGCTGCACCTGCTGGCTCCACTGGGCAAATGCACAACCAGGCACTAATGGATACAGTCAGGACATCCCGTTTCCATCGTCCACATTTAAAGCTGGCCTGCACATACAGGCACAGCTTGACCTACTGTTCATAAAGAAAATGAAAAGCAATGCTCTACTTTCTTTCCTCTTGATCAGAACTGCTCTTCAGCTCAAATTTGTCTGCGTTTCCAAGATAACCAGAGGTTGATGAGCAGTGGGAAATAAGAAGAGCTGTTCTTTTCTTAATGCTTTTATTTAAGAAACAGACATAATCTGTAAATCTCAAAGACTTGCATGCATGAGCAGTACCCTCCCATAATTTCTCAGAACCGATTGTTTTCTGAACCATCTACACTAGCCTCCTGAACTTCATTTGGGGAGAAAAAGATGTGCCACTCTAAGATGTCTTCCTCATCCTCACTACCTTTTACTCAAAACGAGAACTATTTCTGAATCGGGCATACCAATTTAGAAAGGCCAAGGATTACCACTAGATAATGGTGTGAAATGGACCTTGTCAATGGCTTGTTATACTTAGCTAAGAGCCCCAATATATCCTGATGCTGAGATTCAGCCTCCAATTAACTCAGTATACAGAAACCAAAAACAAAACAAAGAAACAAAGAAAATCACTGAGCAGCTTTAGCTCTCACAAAAAGGAAGTACAAATAAAATATTAAAAAAAAAATCTAATCACAAAGGAAACGATCCTTCGATCTTGGCTTCTCACATACACATATAAAAGGTAAGCTGTAACAATTTAGCCCATGAATTTCTACTTCGTGTTTGCATATTCTCACTTCCTCTTCAACAGTGCCTACCGAAGCCAAAACGTTTGGTAATCCAACTTAAATACAGCTCATCCACCCTTTCTGGAAAAAAAAACAACTTGCAAGGATGTCATTTTCACTCCTTTCCTTTTCCTCTCCCCACAAAAACCACAATTGCCAATATCTTATGGCATTGCTTCCCAAATTCTCAGAGATAAGAAGCCTCCATGATCCTCCAATGCACAGAATAAGCTTATCCAGTAGAACTTAAAAAGATATGAAAGTATGGGTGTGATAAGTGTTATAAGATGACACATAATTCCAGTCACCCATGAAAAAGCCAGGTAAACTGTAATTAGAATAGGCACAAACGAGAACCACAGAATCAAGCAGAGTTTCAAGTGTCTGTCTTTCTTATGAAGGCTAGAAGAGCTTGAATTGCTTTAATACATACAGCACAGAGTCAGAAGGAATATGACTGTCATCTAAAAAATGGGGGGAGAGGGGAGACGTTGTGCCAACACTTCTTTCGCTTAGACAAGAACAACATGAATATAAACTGACCTTAGATACATTTAAGCTGAAGAGTGAGAAGTTCTGCTGCACATTATGACAAAAGCCCTACCTTCTTTAAAGAGAAAAGATTTAAGTGGAATTAGGAAGAATACTATATCACGCAGCTATGCAATACAAGGATACTAAACTTGACAACTCATGAAATACAATACATACGATACTGTGTCTAGAGAGTCTGCTTACATACAAAACAAAAGCTTTTAATTAAAAGCTTTGTGTAATGTAAGCTTTTATCCTAACGTGAACTCTTTGGAAACCCCCTTTATCTTTCTCATAGCTGTGTTCTGAAAGGCTTTTCCTTTTCCGAATTCTTCCTCAGTGAATTCTGTGAAACTGTTACTTATCTCCTGCAGCCATTTTAATGCTTTTGTTGACCTTCTGACAGTCGTCTACCCATCAGATCTGGCTTAAGCTCTTCCTTTTCCCGTAGGAATTCAGAGCTATAAACTGCAGACAGATCTGCCAAGGTACAGACGCTGTGACAAATGTACTTACAGGGTTCAGTTACAGAAACTCTGAAGTAATGGCTTTTTCTAAAGCAGAGAATACTTTAACAACACAGTTACAGAAAGCACATTCTTACACACTGGCACAGCTATTACAAACAAAATCATCTATCAAGTTAAGTCAAAACTTACAACTCCAAATGGAGGAGCCTTCACAAATTTATGGAGCTTTCCAACTCTCCAATTTGCAACGCAAACGTGGGGGAGAAGGGAGGGGAACAAAGAAGCCTTATTCTACGGCACTTCCCAAACACCATATCCCACGTACTACTTCCTTTACAGAGGGAAGCCTCCCTTCTGTACCACCGTGCCACTGTGTTCAACAACTATACTTCCACACAGTATAAACAAATGTGTTCTAACTAGCTCAGGCCCTACTTACAGAATAAAATAGGTTATGTTTTAAATTAAGTTTTCACAACAGAAGTATGTACACCACATCCTTCAGATTAAAGGTCATTAAGTTTAACTTTAAAATCTTTGTAACCAAGTAAGGTGACTGAACCATGAGAAGCCTGCCTTACTCAGATAAGGCATCCTCTAAAGCTAACCCAACATTTAAAAAGTCACTTGTGTCGAGCTTTGCATGTAATCATTTAACAAAGTTTAAACGCGTACTTAAGTGTGAATAGTGACAGAAGAGACACGGTTTAAAATACACCATAAAACAGATACAGTTTTACAAGAGAGACATGTCCATTAGTGACAGACATTTATTTTAGAATTAAAGCGTCTTGGCATACAGTGAACAGAGAATAAAACAAACTACCAGGCTGCTAAGGAAATAAGTAGAAATACCTTACTGTCAAGCTTTAGCATGACTCTTCCGAGCCCTCTGATGGGTCGTGGAGCAAGAGCTTCCTGACGTTCCTTTACAAAATTTTCAACAAGTTGCCACCAACTTTTGCAATGGTTTGCCATGAAGTTCAAAACTCCAAAATGAACTACGAGTTTTTTAAGGGCCCAAACTGTAACCACAAGAAGGAAATCAAGTATTAGACATTTCAGAGGAGCACCACAAGACTATGCATCTATACCATTCTGAAAGACCTACGAAGAAGTAAAAAGTTTCTTGAGTTTTATTTCCCCTTAGAAACACTTTCAAAATTTTCAAGTGGTTTTAGTACTGATCTCCTCATTCGCTTTACAGCCGTACTTATCCACATGGAATTTAGATGGCAGCAGAAGAAAGGTGCCTGCGCACTGCCTGATTATGCAGACAACAGACTTCAGCAAGGCCTGGGATAAGCAGGTGCCATTCCAGTTTCAGTGCAGTGGATTTATCACATCTTCACACACACAATGTCAGAGCACTACACATAAAATGCCACATTCAGAACTTAATGGCATGCAACACATAAAAAAAATTCTCAGCCTCATTTCTTAAGTTTTAGGCCTTCTACACTGTTAAAGTTGTATCTTTCCTTTAAAAGCTGACAGCAGCAGATCATGCGTAATTTCACGGTAAAGAAGTGTTCATTTAAACCTTCAACTTAAATACAACTACTGACTAATTTTGCTTTTAAACATCAAAAATATTGAGATCAGCTTTTTATCTTGGCTTGAAGATCATTGCACAAAGCTTCAGAAAAATCCACACTGCTCTTCAAAACCAGGTAATGGAAGATGTTTACAACTTTTTTTCCCCCAAAACAAAACATTTTGCTACCACAAATAGCTTTTCTCCAACTCCCCTAACATACACCCACTGTAAAATAAAGGGCGTCTTAACAACACCAGAAATGTGTAGCATTACAGTTACAGAAATAAAAGCTCATGTCCATTTACTGGCCATGAAATAAAGCCCAGAGACTTCTCCATAAGGCTTACATTTCCAGTCCTGCGATGGCACTGCTCTCCCTCACTTACTGAGTATATGTGCAAAACTTGTGAATCGCCACAATCAGGAATGGAAAACCAAAAAAGCACGATACATACGAAACTTTCCTTTGAAGCTAACAGACCTTTAACAGTCATGAAATATTTGCCATATTCTTTTTTTTATTCAACAAAATATTACACCACTTAAATCACCTATCTTCTCATCACTGAAAAGAAGAAAAGCAAGTAATCTTTCAAAGCCCCTCACAAATTTAGCATCAGAACTGAGGAGTTAATTAATTCATATGATAAACAAAGATTTGTATTACAACGGATTTTACTTGAGTACTGATGCAAACACACCACTCACAAAAACATCATTACAAAATACATCAACTTAAAGGATCAAAATTATTATATGTAGCAGTAATAGATAGGGAGGTCTCACAACCCAGTCCTGCCATGAACTACTGATACACAAACCTCTAAACAAAACCATACTGCATCCCCAAATACTGAAAACTATGGTGCTAAAGGAAAACAAAGTGAAACTATGAGTAACAGCATCGCATAATTCTCCTCATTTCTCCCTAATTTTTTTTAAACCAGAATTTACTAACAGTGAAGGTCACAGGTAGATCAAAACCTAGTCAGTATTACAAATTCTACTGACGCAGGAGAATAACTTTCTGTGAAAACACCAGCAGCATTTCTCCAATCATACCGTATTTACAGCAACATCTGATACTGAATTCCACATCATTACATTCAAGTGTACTTATAATAAAGCTTTTTTTTAATTACGAAACACTATTCTCCAAACTAGATTCATTACTTACTGCCATACATCAACACCACAATAATCCCCTTGTCCTCAAAAATTCGCATCATGCTGCTACCTGCATATGTGTAAAATGACATACACAGATGAAAAGGTTAACTTCTAACCTCCACAGGGCATTTCTCAAAGTTCCACAAGAGCCGATTATCTGCAAGCCACTTGGGTAATAGTTTACTTTCTTGTTCATGGGAAAGCTCATTCAACAATTTTGTGACTTTTTGTTTACTTACCCTCTGGCACCACCATGTGGCAAACATGGCATTTGTGCTCACGAAGAAGCAGAATGATCTAATAATCTTTCTACTAAAGATCATGTGGCAAACATACAAAAAAGGAGAAAATACACTGTAGTGCCAGCACCTTAACAGCCTTGCAGGTTGAAGTTTTGCACGATGAAATCCAACTCATGGTCAATACACAAACTGCTGCTCAGCAAAACCGGGCAAGCTTGCACTTTACAAGGTAGACAACATACCTGAAATGGCATTCTAACCTTCTGCTATTATTTAAAAGTAAGCATCTAAATAGTATCTTCTATAGTAACTTGAGGGTACACTCACTGCAAAGCTGATGCCAGGAGGTGCTGCAGTCAATCACACAACTGCAATCATATTAGGTTAAAAAGAGACAGGAGAGAAAAAGCTAAAGGAGGGCTGTTATTAGAAAGATATAAACAAAAGAGACAGGCTGCACAGTAAGAAATTCCAAGCATCTCCAGGAAGTAGAAAATGATCTGAACACTATTTTTAAAACCAAAAAAAGAATGCAACAGAACAAGCAAGAAAGATCTTAAAAAGAGACAATAACGGGATTCTCAGGCTCACAACACTGAACAACATGCTACAAGTGTTCCACAATTTCGTTTATTGCATAGTTTTTGAAATAAAAAGTCATTTTTTCATCTTTTCATTTTATGGTATAATTACAGTATGAATTTTTCCACTCTCTGCATCAAGCAATTTTAAAAGAGTATCTCAGTCTACTGAAGTACAAAAGCATTCAGGGAAAAATGTTAAAGGCACCAATATAATTTTAATAATCTAAATGCTCCTTCATCTAAGTCCTGTCTACCAATATAAGGAACTCTAGTGAAATTAACATCTTTCTATCTAAGGTTTTAGGGGTGGGAGTTTTATTTTTGGGGGGTTGGGGTTTTGTTGGTTTTTTTTTTTTTTACATACTAGAAGCATTCTCCTTAAAGTCTCAGAAGTGCTTAAAGTTATTACCCTCCTTAAACCTGAGAAGTCGCAAGAAAACTTGCTTTTTAAGTCTTCCTATTTTCCACTGCTAAATATTTTTAATATCCCCTCTAACAATCCAGGTTATTATCATTCACGCTCTGACACTTACTGTGATCCACTGTTCTAAATTTGGCTCTGTTCATCATTATACTGCCTTTTCATAATATTTTTGTAGTGAGCTAGTCATATTCAGTTCTATGCCAAGAAAAAGCACTTAATGGTCTAGCGTCACTGCTAAAGCAACAGGTCACAAATCTTCTCAAAATTAATTTCTATTTTGGCATGCGTTTACTGTTAAGGTAGCTAATTTACACCTAGTAACTGGCAGCAGGAGTATTCATCCATTTCAATTACAGATACGCACTTTAATTCAGATTTGTGGGGCTGAAGTTTAAAACTACTCATTGTTGTCTGGCTAACAGCAAAACTATTGCACCCATTTTTCCTCCCCTCCAGGCATGTATTTCTAAATACCCCTTCACTTCGCAGTAAATTAAGCCATGTAAGCCCTGCTTCTAGTAAGTCTTAAAATTTATATTCTAATCCTTTTATCATTTTTATGATGCATTTCTGAGCTACATCCAACCTGCCGTCGCCATTTCCCATGATGTCCAGACACCAAAACTGGGCAGCTTCCTCTGTAGCAGCTACACCGGAATGAAATAAAGATCAAACTCCCCTCTCCTCTAACTCTATATTCAGCAATTTATGTGCCTAACCATCGCGTTACCCTTAGCTGCTGCTACAGTGCCACAGGCAGATGTGCAGCTGTTCCTTTCACCACGCCTTTCGGAGCTCAGAGCCCTTCCAACCCGTGAGCACGGCCCCCCAGTTGTGATTTCCACATTTCCACAACTAGATGGTTTACAATGGCTTTGTGTATTGGGGGTTTTGGTAGCAGGGTGACCTTCATGGGGAGAGACCAGTTCCAGATGGCTCCACAACAGACCCACCACAGGCCAAAGCTGAGCCCATCAGGCACAGACACGGTGCCTCCATGAAAATGTATTTAAGAAAGGACAGAAAACACTACAGAGGAAGAAGAGGAGGGAAAACAGAGAGAGCAAGTGAACAGAGAGGAAGAGGGAACAGAGGGAAGCACAAATACAGGCTGGCTGGAAAACAGATTGAGAGCAGCCCTGAGGAGAAGGACTTGGGGGTGCTGGTTGACAAGAAGCTCAACATGACTCCGCAACGTGTGCTCAAAGCCCAGAAAACCAACCATACCCAGGGCTGCACCAAAAGCAGCGTGATCAGCAGGTCGAGGGAGCGGATTCTGCCCCTCTACTCTGCTCTGGTGAGACCCCATCTGGAGTCCTGCATCCTCTGGAGCCCTCAGCACAGGGAAAGACATGGAGCTGTTGGAGCGGGTCCAGAGGAGGGCCACAAAAATGACGAAGTGTTCAAGGCCACGCTGGATGGGGCTTTGAGCAACCTGGTCCAGTGGAAAGTATCCCTGCCTGTGGCAGGGGACTTGGAGTTTGATGATCTTGAAGCTCCCTTCAACCCAAACCATTCTATGATTATCTGATTCTATGAATAAAAAGGCCAGGGGAGTAGAAGTGCTGCACGGTGGAGCAGACACACAACCCAGAGGGATTGTGGCCTACGTAGGATCCATGTCGGAGCAAGTACACCTCTCGAAGGGACTGTGGCCTACGGATGAGGAGATGCCTGAGCTGGCACCTCCCCAAGGGACTGCCGCTCATGGATGAGCCCCCACTGGAAGACAGGAAAAGAGCGAGGGGCTCTGTGCGTACTTGGCCACTAGCTGGAGCCAACACATCACACCTGGTAAAAGGAAAAACAGCTACATTTAAGTGTTAGATACATTAAAAAATGCTGAAAATTGGCATTTTAACTGAAATGTATAGAAAATCCGAGCAAATTAGGAATGTCATTTTGTTTAAAAGTAGGGGGATGGGAAGAGCCATGAGCCAGCAGTGTGCCCAGGTGTCCAAGAAGGCCAACGGCATCCTGGCTTGTGTCAGGAATAGTGTGGCCAGGAGGAGCATGGAGGTGCTCGTGCCCCGTGATATTATAATCATTTATAATTTGTGTTCAGTTTTGGGCCCCTCACTGCAAGAAAGACATTGAGTTGCTGGAGCGAGTCCAGAGAACGGCAACGAGGCTGGTGAGGGGTCTAGAGAATAAGCCTTATGAGGAGCAGCTGAGGGAACTGGGGCTGTTTAGTCTGGAGAAGAGGAAGCTGAGGGGGTACCTTATTGCTCTCTACAGCTACCTGAAAGGAGCTTGTAGTCAGGTGGGTGTTGGTCTCTTCTCCTCAGTAACTAGTGATAGGATGAGAGGCCATGGCCTCAAGTTGCGTCAGGGGAGTTTTAGATTGGATATTGGGAAAAATATCTTTACTGAGTGGTCAGACATTGGAACAGACTGCCCAGGGCAGTGGTGGAGTCACCATTCCTGGAGGTATTCAAAAAACCTCTAAGACAGGGCACGTCGGGACATGGTTTAGCCAGCGTGGTGGTGTTAGGTTGACGGTTGGACTTGATGATCTTAGAGGTCTTTTCCAACCTACGATTCTATGAAATGCCTTCAGATTTGTAGTAGCTCATGCGTACTTCCAGAGTTCCCATATTGCCTATTGAGCCCCCCAAAAGAATATTGGAAAAAGTGGCAATCGTTCAGTTTTAAAATAACCTCTTTAGATAGCTGTCATAACTATTCCATTCTTGCTTGACATTGTAAGAGAACAGATGCATGTAGGTGTGAAGCAACAAAGCTAATTAACCCTGGAGCTAGAATTAGAATTAAATTTATCTTGCTACTTGACCACAGAGCCTAGCTACCCATTTTTAATGGAAATTAAAAGTTAGCACAAGCTGTACTTCAGTACTGAGTAACAGCTGAAATATTCTTTATCTATAGGCGCAAAAACATGAAAGACAAGACATCAAGAGGAAGAAAAACAAAGCCAAACGAAAAGATTATTACAATGAAAGGTATGACACTAAATTTTTCCAGGTAACTACAACAGTCAACTGCTAAAGCAATTTTACAGACTTGTAACAGACAGTGCACGTTAATCTTCTTATTTGAAGCCACAATTCATAAAGAATATAATAACGTTTAACAACATTATTATGTTCTTGGTGTTAACAAAATAAAATCTTGAAAAAAAGTTTTAAATTAGAACTCATACAAGCCTACAAGCCCTTCCTATTTTACTTAACACAAAGCCGAAGGCTATCCAAAGTCACATAACACAATTGGATTATTACCTGCAAAAGGCACTGGCAACAGCTGCACAATCCAGAAATTTAGCCAGATCTGGACAATGACAAAGGCCCAGACAAGCGTAACAAAGTAAATATCACTAGTTTTCTTTTTTCTAAGAAAAGATGCAATCTCAGGTCTTTGTCTGCTCCCAGAAGAGGATGAAGAGGAGGAGAAAGACGATGAAGCATGTGGAGGCTGATCACCTTCTGTTGCTCCTAAAACAAACAAATACAAACAAAGAAGTGGAAATGATCACATTAATGTTGACCACAGACCAGAATATGCTCCCCAGGCATATTAAACTCCACACCCACCCGCCCCCATTTGGGGTGTTCGGTTTTTTTGGTTTTGTTTTGTTTTTTTGTTTTTTTGGTTTTTTTTGTAATTTCTCTAAAAGATAGAGACAGCCTTAGCACTGATCTGAATTTGGAAAAGCTAGAACAGGGCTATGTAACCTCTCCCACATCATGCAATACTATGCCAAGCAATGCTGGGAGAAGGGGAGAAGAAAAGATGCTACAGCCTCTAAGAGGCCTCCTGTCACTGCAGGTAAATTACAAGCCAAATGTATTTTACCAAAGAACTGTAATAACCTGAAAAACACAAAATGTAGTTCTCTTTAAAAGAAATCTAAAGTCTTAAAAGATATCTTTGATTTCTCTTTACTTCAAGTACTCAAAAAGAAATCTTAGATCTGCTCAAAGTTCATTTAAACAAAACAGAAAAATACAGTGTACACTGAAGAGGAATCCTGTATCTCACAATTTCTTACAACGTGTTTTCTTTTCCTAAACATTCATATTACAAAACATACCACTCACACTGTAATCCTAAATTACTTGTTTGTGTAACATATTTTAGTAACAACAGCAAGCACAAATTAGTGGGTAACAAATGCTGTCATTCATAAGTTAGTAAACATTAAGTTCAGTTAAAAAATGCAAACCAATGTGTTAAAGCCACTCATAAATAAACAGTAAACAGTCACTTCAGGCAAAAATATTATGTCCAAGTTAAAGTTCTTGTACAGAGAACACATTTATTTAACTTTTTACTTAGTACATCTGCCTAGTATCAGACTAGTACACGTGACACCAAACCCATCTTCAGCCGCTGTATGTAGAATCTCTTCCTGAGAAGGCCAGTATTAGCTCTTACTGAGGCGTCACGCTGGTGGCGAAACGCACACACTCCCCACACACCACTGCTTGAGAAAAATCTGCAGCCAAGGTGGAAGAACGCACACACAAGATAACCTGAAAAGTTAACTCTATGGTGAAGAATAAAAGGCAATTTGTTACACTGGTACATACTGCAAGAAGGAGGACCCAGGGAACTACAGGCCGGTCAGCCTCACCTCCATCCCAGGAAAGGTGATGGAGCAGCTTATCCTGGAGGTCATCATGAAGCAAGTGGAAGAAAAGAAGGTTATCAGGAGTAGTCAGCATGGATTCACCAAGGGGAAATCATGCCTGACCGATCTGATAGCTTTCTACAATGGCATGACTGGCTGGGTAGATGAAGGGAAAGCCGTAGATGTTGTCTAACTAGACTTCAGCAAGGCTTTCGACACAGTCTCCCATAATATCCTCCTAGGAAAGCTGAGGAAGCATGGGCTGGATGAGTGGTCGGTGGGGTGGATTAAGAACTGGCTGAATGGCAGAACTCAGAGGGTTGTCATCAGCCGTGCCGAGTCTAGTTGGAGGCTGGTAACTAGTGGTGTCCCCCAGGGGTCAGTATTGGGCCCAGCCTTGTTCAACTTCTTCATCAACGACCTGGATGAAGAGTTAGAGT